ATTTTATAAAATATTTAATAATTGTATTTTACAATTGAAAAAAAATTAATTAATTTTCTATAAGTTTCAGATTTCGATTATACTTATTATATTTTAATTTCTTTATATATATAATCTTTTTTTAATAAACCAAAAAAATTTATATTTAAAATTAAATTAAAATCAGCATTGAAGTCAGAACCAATCAATGAAGTGTTAATATGCAATTATTGCACAATTACTTCCGATCAATATCAAGTGAATTTCTAAGCAAAAAGAACGGATGTATCTCTAACAAATTATTCAAACAAATCATCAGATGACTATTCGTTACCATCATTTGCATATTCTAATTATATGAATCATAAATCATTATCAAATTAGAAATATCTCTTACTTAATAATAAATATTTCAAGCAATTAACATTTCATTATTTATATTTATCTAACCTCAAATTAAAATCATATGAAATAAATTATTTATTAATAAAACAGATTTTTATGAAAATCATATTTTTTAATTTATTTTATTTTATATTTTAATTTTGAAGATTAGAAAAATTGTTTCGAATACCTTATAATATCCATCAGTTCCATGGAACTCCGGACATCGATCTAGATACGGCACTAGAGAATATTTCCGAATTCGTCCCAATGACACTGTCATATTTTCATAAGTTAAAGAGAAAATAATGCACTACCAAAGTTTTCAAATATTCATGACGCAAATATCGTGATCCTATCGAGATTTCATCGTAAACTGACAGTGTTCGTGGGTGGTAGAGACCACAGAGATTCACTATCATTTGTTTCATATCTTTTCATTTTGTCGAGAAATCATATCGATAAATAATTTTCCCTGGAGAATTGTTGTAATACTCTCTTATCACAAATAAGATAATACTTCAAATATTCTATACATCAGTTTAAAATTTGAAAAACATGTAACCTAATCGTAAGTATTTAATATATATTCTTGTCTAATTGATAAACTCAATTGTTAATCTATTATCGTATCATTCACGATTATATAGAATGAATTACATACCCATATATTTCTTTTCTTTATATTTTATTATCTTGTTACGTTGAATACCAATATTTTGTAACTATAGGCAAAAAAACAATTATTGCCATCACATAATATCAAGAAGGTTAAAAAAATTATTATAATATAATTAACAATAATTAATGATTTATACTCACTGATTATAATGATTTCTTTACCTTTTAGAACATAGTAATAACAACTAATCACTTTGAATTCATGATTATTTTATGGTTGTCTAATTTGATAAATAAAAACAAAATATAGTATAATTTTTACATTTAGTTATTAATTATTTAATTTAATAATTTCGTGATAAAAATGAAATTGAATTAATCAATTACTTTTTTTAACTCATATTCTTTTTTATATCCTTTGATATTATAAAATGATTAAACATGAAAAAACATTTCATATGATAAGATATAAATATTATTATTGTTTTCACGATTTACTTGAAAATGTCTATAAAATATATGAACTATATGTCATCAATGCAACGAAGAGTCAAAACAAAAGAATAAATTACTTTATTTATAGCGTTAACAAATTATACGATATTGGGATAGACGGTTTAAAATGTTCAATTAGTTTTCATTTCAAATAATTTCATAAAGATGGCAGCTAAGATAGAATATATCGCATCGCCATCTATCAACGAGTAGTGCAAATAATAGTATTATATCGAAGAGTGAACATTTGATGATAAAAATGTATACCAACTTCCATCTCAAAGAAAAAATTAAAAATGTTAAACGACCCTCATTATCGAAAATGTCAATACAATAATTATTTAAACAAATACAGTATAAGAATGTTACGACTAAAATAGACTAAATATATAGAGTATGCAATTACTCAGTTCGAATGCCTATAGCGAATACGAAGCACGTGTAAAATTCTTTGTACTCTAAAACGGGCTTATGAGTCGTCAGACAGCCATATTACGCAACAAAGAGTAAAATATCGCAAACAAATAAAACGCGTTTACTTCACTTAATTTTACTAATAGATTTTAACAAAACTTCATATAATACAAAATCATATGATTAAAAATATAGTTATGTATTTATATTACATTTTTGTTCAATATTCAATTAACATTATTGATCGATTTACTTTAAAACATATTAATATTCGTTATGAATTTTCTTTCGTACTTCTTTATTTACTGACCTAATCTCTGCGCGTTACTAATTCAATGAACAATCCACGCACGGAAAGCATTCGTAAAGATCTTACGTGTCGAAGCATCCGTCATAACAGCCCTCAACGCATTGTAATTCGTCTTTCAACCGAATCGATAGAGCTTAAAAGAAGCCTTGTACCTAACCTCCCTCGCCTATGAAACATTAAAGTCACATATTGGGATCTAGGCCGAACGATCACTAATTCAGGAATGCAAATCATTATGTCTCTAAAATTTCATGTTATTGATTTCAATTGAAATTTTTAATAAAACTCGTTGAAGATTACAGTGTCACCTAAGAATTAATATAACGATAATTCATTATTATTATCATACTATTGAAAGTGAAATACTATTTTCTACTCTTTTTAATTTTATCTACTGTTTTTCACTGCAAAATATACTTTTTATCTAATCTTTAACTGAATATCTAATATTTTAATGTTGCATTATAGCTTTTGCAATATATGTATATATGTCAATCTCAACTTGACGTAAATTTTATTTATATGTCTGACGTAACAAATTTTATTATATGTTTTATTTTTATAAAAATCATATAAATCGATATATATAATCTTGACTTATTCATTGCTTTTGAAGAAATATATTTATAAGATTATCTATAATTAAAATAAAAAGTTTGGAAATTTCTACATTTATTAATACTATTTTTAATAATAAAATATTTGCTAATTATTTTAAATTATATGAATATATAGAATATCATTTTAAGAATAAGAAAGAGTTTATTAAAAAATTTCATATCTAGATTTACTTTGCAAAACTTCGCAATCAAAGCAAATGTTTTCAAAAAAAAAAAGGAAGTTTCTTGCGATATTTCGCTTTATATCCATGCTTTATAACGATTGTTCGATATTTATAAAAATTGATTCACAAGCTCTGTATTACATAGATTTTAAAGAAATATGATTTCATTATTCAAAATGAATTTTTAAATTCGTTTCAATACCAAACAATTAATAATTAACAATTAAAAAAAAAAAAAAAGAAAAAAAAAGAAAACAAAAATCGTACATCACTTAAAGTGTATTTAAAGTAAATGTACTTTAAAAAATGTACTTTAAAAAAAAATTACTCGATGAGATCACACGTAAAGAAAAAGAAGAACCAATCAATGATGGCATGCCAGTGATTGGTTGTTCGTGATGATTATAGTTAACGACCACACCTTGCTGATTGTAAACGATACTTTAAATGGTCACTCGGTTATCAACGAACGTCCATTTTTACACATTTAATTTATCCTTTAAAGATAACAATGTAAATAAAATAATGTATTTTTTATGAAACTATCTACGCTTTTTTTTCATTCTTCCACCGGAAACGAATACTATTATTGTTATCGATCGTTTCCTGTCCAAACACAGGAAATTTAGTTGAAAATCGAGACTCGTAAGTGTATAATAATTTTTATATTGTTTACTCTTTCCATAATAACTATTTCGTATTAAATAAAAAATTTTTCAAATTTGATAATTTAAATTCGAAATTTATTTTTACACTTTATGTGATGCGTTAAATTACTTTTTACCTGGTCGTATTGTCTACTTATATCTGTACACGTCTAGCGGGATGTTTTATGAAGATTGTAAAATAAAAGAAAATATAAAGCGAACAATCGTGTCGCAATCTGAAACTCTATCTTCCATTTCCGTCATCTCTCGCGATATTCTCGCGCGACCGTTCACTTTCGCAACGTTCAAGAGGCAAACGTTGTAAACAAATTTGCTAGATAGACTACTTCTCCGTAGCAATTAGTCAATTATTGTAATTAAACGTAACGTTCCTTTTACTCGTACGAAAGGAGAATTCACTTTGCGAATTCTATCGTTAGGTAAGTTAGATTAAGTTTTAATGGCAAGAAAATTTTATATCTTTTCTCAAAAATACTTTGTAGATCACAATAGAAAATATATACAGAGTGTCTCAAAAATGTGAAAACATTAATATTGAAGATTCCTGAAATAATTTAAAATTTTTTATTAACGACTTTTTTTTTTAAATTAACAATAAAACACGTTGTTCAATCACGGAACATGAAGTAAAAAAATTACAATTATTATATACTTTATTCATTGTTCGTGATATAATTCGATATAATTTTTTATCGATAAAAAAATATATTCATTACATTCAATGTCATTTCTTTGAAATATGTTTCTTGTTCACGCTTGGTCGTCACACATAGCCAACGCTACGTTGCGACTCGACCAAGTTACGCTACGATTACGCTACGATTACGCTACAACGATATTGAATATTATAATTTATTCATTTTTTGTGATATAATTCGATGTAATTTTTTATTTTCATTCAATTTTCTTCGAGATACGTTACTTGGATTTGTTCGCGCTCGGTCACCGCACATAGCTATTGCTACCGTCGCGGTTCAACTAGCTTACACGCTCCGTGATTGGCCAGCGTTTTTCGTTAATAACACGTTAACAAAACCTCAACGAAAATTCTCGCAAAGGAAAATATTCTTCAAAATTATCCAAAGAATTTCCCAATTAACGTTTTCATATGAAATGATCTCATATTTTTGGGACATCCTGTATATATTTTGTATCCCCACCGTCATTTTTTCTTGTCAAAATTGAATAATAAATAAAATATATAGATTGAATAATTGAATAATAAATAAAGTAAATAAAATACAAATAAAATATATAATAAATAAAATATAAATAACAGAAATCACGCTTATAAATAAAGTAAATAAAATACAAATAAAATATAAATAAAAGAAATCACGCTTACCTTCCTCTTCCTCTCCTGTACAAAGTCCACCCTGCGAACCCAGACCTCCTCTGTCGAGTCGTAATCAAGGGTGCTGGAGCTGCTCGCCTGACTCTTCATTTCTATCAAACTACTGTCGAAGAACCTTTTGTCGAAATGCGGACTAGGGAGGGGGCTTGTCCTGGAGAAGGTCATGCTGTTCGAGTACGTCGGCGGATCGGTCGCGGGGAAAGTCATTCCCGGCCCGGTCGTGTGCCTCCTCCTCAACGGAGGCTTCGTGGTCGACGTTGGCGAGGTCACCGTCGACGTCGTGAACCTGGACGACGCGGTCGTACCGGTGCTGGTGCTCGTGCTGCTGGTGCTGGTGGTGGTCGTGGTGGTGTTTGTAACGATCGTGGTCGTCGTTGTCGTCGTCGTCGAGATCGTCGTCGTCGACGTCGTCGTCAGCGTAGCCGTCGACGACGTGGTCGTCGACGTTGTCAACGATGCCATCGACGTTGTCGACGACTTCGTCGTCATGGAAATAACCGTGGAGGTAGCGGTTTGACTCTTCGGCTCCGAGATGCTCGAGGTAGCAGGATTCGATTTCTGATCGATCCTTTCGGAACTCGATTTCTCGGAGGAAGACGGACTAGAGGCTTTCGAGGAGACGCTCTCGTTCCTCTCCTCGGATTCTTCGGTCTTCGTGGCGTCATCCTTGTTGCTTTTCACCGTATCCTCGGCGCTCGACGCGTCCACGTTTTTCGCTGAAACACGAGGCAAAGAGCGAGGGAATCAGAGGAGGACCGTTGGCGACCGTTGGCGACCGTTGACGCGCAATTCGAGACAAAGAGGCCGTTATTCTTCGCCGCCTTCTATTCGGTCACGCTCACCCTCTTCAAGGTTCTCGGTTATGCTAAATACTTAGATTTCGCGCGATCGTTCGAAATCTGGCTACGCTCGTGCGCCAGATTTTATGTGACTCGTGTGTGTGTGTGTGTGTGTGTGTGTGTGTGTGTGTGTGTGTGTGTGTGTGTGTGTGTACTTATGAAAAAGAAAATACGAATAATGCATCATTTTGAGAGTTGCTTTGATAGGTTTTCAATTGTAAAACAATTGGAAGAAAAATTCGTAAGTACAGTGTGTTCTTTTGTTTTTTTTTTTTAAATATTTAAATAATTCTATTCTAAAGTAAATAATTCTAAAAGTAAAAATCTTTTAAAAATCTTTCACGGAAAAGGGAGAAGAAGCGAGAAAGGTTTTTTCGAAAATTAAAAAAAAAAAGATTCGAATTAGAGAAATATGAATTGTGTAAAGAAGTTCTGCAAGCGCTCTATTACATCGTTACAAACGCGGAATATCATGCTTCCAGTGACACTCTATAAATAAACATCGACTGAATGAAATAACTGTTCGCATCTCTAGCTATATTCATGTGTTCCATAAATCGTAAGCAACGTTCACATTGCTCTAGTATCGGCAGAGTGGTGAAAAATAAATCGTGCATATAATAATTCCGGTTGTACGTAATGATAACGCTTTACTTTAAGATTAAAAATTATTATTTTAAAATTTAAATGCATATCGAGTTTGAATTTCGAGGACGCGAAATAAAAAAACGTTTCCTATTTAGGAAGATAATCGATAAATATAACGTATGAATATTGGCTAAGTGGAGTGTATATCTTTCTCGCGGTGTTGGTAAGTAGAAACGTTGGCAAACGGAACTAAACGAAGCTAAACCACTGGCCGCACTCTAATCTTAGCTCTCATTGAACGAGTGCGAGCTCCTGTTAATAGCTCTCTTCGCGCGATTTAATGCCCGAATCGTGTTTCGTAACGCGCCGCTTTTCTCGCAATCTTCCATAGACATTCGCGGCGCACACGATCGAAACGAATCGATCCGGTTTTTAAAGCGGAACGATATTTTAACGCTAGAACTATCCGCTTACATATTTTTACATATTCAACGTACCATAAATGGTATAAATTATTTTGATTTGATGAAATTGCGCGATGAAAGTGCAATTATGTTTCTATATTAATAAATATTAATTTATTAATTTATTAAATACTAAAGATTTCTTATCCGTTCCGGGAAATTCTTATTTATAAGATGCTCGATAATTTTCCTTTCTTAATTCTAATGTTATTCTTAAAACTTAATCTAAAAAGAAAAACGATATTTCTTATATCTCGCCTCTAATAATTAACAAGAATTTAATAACTTTGCTTGATAACAGATAATTAATGATTCAATTTGAATATATAATATTACTTAATTATTAAATTATTATCAAATATCTAATAGAATATATTTATAAAACTAATATTGTAGTTATACCAGGATAGTAATTAACGTTTTTTCTTACAATAAAGTACAGTAATATGTCCGTCGATACATTAGCATAAAGCAAAATGGAAGAATTAATGGAATTTAATCTAGAATTATTATTGGAATCGTATATTCGTGAAGAATGATAAATAAACTTCCTACTTTTCTTCCTCTTGTACTTTTCACTTTCAACTTTCATATATTACTATTTTTTAGTTACTTATTATAAAAAAAAAACCGCATTAAAATTATAAGAAATCTTTCTTACCATCTTCGTTCTCGTATTCGTCCTCTTCCTTGCATTCGGACAATCTTCTGCCCCAGGGATAGGGGCTATGCGTCTGATTTCTCGACGGTAACCTATTCACGTGAGAGAGGAAGTAATGATGAAAGAAACTGTCCACGCCGTCCGAATCCTCGCCAGAGGATTGCAGCATATCCTTGAGGGCGGCCAACGAGGTGATGGTGTTATAATTGATAGCTGAAATTAAATCGTCCTCGATGTCACTGTCGTCCGTTGTGTCGTCATTTTTCGACGTTTGATCCTCTTTTTTCGCCTCGGATGCGACCGTCTTCGTATGCTCGGTCTTCGAAGCCTCCGTCTTATCGTCCGAGCTAGTCTCGGACTCGTCATCAGAGGTGCTCGTTGACGTTGTGCTGCTCGACGTGTCCTCGTCCTTTTTCCCATCCGTTTTCTCCTCTTTGAGCTCGTCCTCGTCGGACCCTTTACACTCGTCCTCGTCATCCTCGTCCTCATGGGGCACAGCCTTTGATAATTTATTCGAAGCCTCGTCATTTTGACTGATATTCTCTAAGTTCTTCAAATTCTTCAACGCCTCCTGCTCCCCTAAATCCTTACTTATTCTCACGTTACTGTCCTCGTCCTGACCCGTCATTTTATTCTTATGGTGCTGATTATTGGCAGTCACATCGCACTCGTCCGATTCGTTCTGCTTTTCGCCACCGGAACTCTCCATCGAGGTATCTGAAAATCACACAGTTCCACTTTTTTAATTATAATTTTAATTTTGTAAATTAACGATCGAGTCGATGATTTTTATAAATTTTTATCAATTTCGATAGCTTCGTTCTTCTTTTTTTTTTTTTATTTTTCCTCTCATTTTTGACACACAATCGATTCGGCGATTAACCATAAACGATAAAGGAAGAAAATACTCCTGCGAATTGACATTTTTATTTCGCACGAAGATGAAGAGAAAAATGTAGATAGGAGAGAAGCAAGTCAAATTTTTTATTCTAATATTAGATCGAGAAAGGAAAACATTATTTATATTTTAATAAAGGAAATTATTAACACGTTCGAGTTTGCATAAGTTTTTTTCACTCTCTCGTGCGTCAATAAGACGAGATGATTTTTAAAATTACGTCAACAAGAATAATGTTTGCGCGTATGCGCGGGTAGGTATGTGAAGGAGAAAAAATTGTTTTAAAAATTTAAAATCGTTTTGCAATTTCCTCGAACAAACATACTTCCGCTTTAGAGGTTATGTACGCGTGAAAGGTTTCCTTCGAAACGGTTAATGATGGTGTTTTCACAGGGTCTACTACCACTTCACTATTCATCGCGCGATCATTCTCTTCCTTTCTTGAACATTCACTTTTGTGATCTTTTTCTGAGAGGGTAATAGAAGAAGATTACTTTCGACGCGAAGAAGATTAATAATCGGGGCGATGATAACTAGGACACCGAAAAAAAGATAAAAATAACTCGTCAATCGATTAATTAATTCTCTAATAATATGCTCGCAACTTGACGCATTAAGCTGTCTTTATTCCCTTCGTGTGGAACGTAGATGTTTATAATTATTCACGCTTCTTAGTGACGCGTCAAAGGTACGAAGATAATGAAAAAAATTTGATCCAAGATATTATTCTTCTTTCCTTTCTTCTTTTTCTTTTTTAAAGAAAAAAAAAAATCTAAAAGATAAAATTTAAATAGTAATGGATAATTTATAATTATAAAATTGAGAAAGAATAAATCTGCGCTTTTTTTTTTTTTTTCAAATAAAAATATCATCGTAGATATTTCAATTTTTTAATTTTATAATTAAAATTATATATATAATGTAATATAATTAATGTAAGGTATTATAATAATAAATAATAAATATTATAATAATAATAAATCATATAATAATGAGGGACGTAATGGGATATACATGGGAATATACGGAAATATAAATATTTTTTTAATTAAAAGACTATGCCGGCCATTTTAAGCAAGCGCTTTAAAGCAAGTTTTAATGAGAAACGGAAAAAAGAATCTCGAGAAATATTGCGACAATGTGTGAAATGAATAAAATCTTAACCATCATCCTATTCATGTAAGAAACGCGTCCTTCCTCTTATTGACCAACAGCATTTATACTGTCTTGAAAAATTGTTTGAGAAACTTGCATTTATTCTTTCTATAACTATAATCAATGCAAAAAAAATATTACGAATATTTTAGTCGATTTCTATTGAATGAAATTTTATTTTGAAACAATAATGTTACAATCAATTATATATTATTTTCTTACCTTTCAATAAACACATAATAATATATATTTTAATTAGAAAATTTTTTTTTCTAACCTCAAAATCTTAAATATTATGATAATTGAGAAGAACTTAATTTAATCTGTTGAAAATAGAATTATAATAAAAAAAAGAAGGATTCAATAATCAAAATTGATGAATCAAATCTCTTTTCATTTTTAATTTCTTCACTGTTTCATAATTTCGATTTCGTGTATACGTTTATCACGATCGTGTATCACTATTTACCGTTTTAAATCTTAAGGTTAGAAGAAAAAATAAAAATGGCTGGTGACCTGGATAATTTAATTGATTAAATTCAATCAGTCGGCAAACGAAACTTCGAATTCAAATTCTAATCCGAGTAGCCCAATCGATTGATTCTTTTTTCTCTTCTCCTTCTTTTCATTCTGTTTGGTTTTCTTCGCACAAAATTCTGAACAGTTACGCTTGACATGTCTATCGAAATAGAATAAATTTACCGTATATCTAGATTCGATTAACTAGCGTGATAAACATAAAAATTAATGATAAAATGCAAATAGTGAAAATTATTTGTTAAATATTTTTTTTCTCTTTTTTCCCCTTTTTTTTTCCTTTTTTTTTTTTTTTTAAATGAAAAAAAATTTCTTTGTTTCGTTCGTGAACGCGTCATTGGCGCATTGCGGTAAGTACGCCCTCTATTTCGTAACCGTGGAAACGTTTGTCTGTATAGCATGCAAGTTCTGTTATAGATGCGTATCATACAGCAACCTGGTCCTCTATTATACCCGGCGGGAAGAGCAAGTAAAACACAGTATAACAAACAAAAAATATATAGACTATATATAGTTACGACTAATTATTTTCGTTGGCGAACTTTCACATATTTTTGTATCAATTGTTTAAAAAAAAAAAAAAAAAAAAAAAAAAACAAAATATAAAGCAACGTTACAGTTTACGGTTTAAGGTTTATAGTTCGTGTTTTATATTGTTTTCAAAAAATTATAACCAGTAGAATACCGATAAGTTATTAAAAAAAAATCGGATTTTATCACGTGTGAGGTTATATTTACGAACTTCGATAGCAATTGAATGTGATCTTGAATAACTTGTGACGAATTAATTCCAATTTGAAATAAAGTTCGTTATATAATAGCAATTATAACTATTGTTAGTTCAAAATTTCTTTTTTTTAATTAACAATTGTTGAACTATTATATTTATCATAATTCTATTGAAATAAAATGAATGCCAATATATATTTAGATATTTACATTTAACCATGAAAACTTTGTCGAACGATTGAAGATGCAATCATCGTGTAAGATGAGGAAATACGATATCGATGAAGGTCAGTTTACAAAGTATTACTGCTAATACAGCAACAGGTATGGTTTGCTCAATAACAAAGTTGCTTGTTTCCCGAGATATAAATTAGATTTCGTTTAACGAATATTCTAATCGAATAAATAAGAGGCAAAAATTTGAATAGACAATCAATCGTAATCTCCTTGAACAAGGTTACGTTGGAATAATTTTATCTACCAAATTTAATGGGCAAGGTGATAGATAATGTTTGCAAAGCAAACGTAATACCACCGATAAGATAAATAACTTTCAGCCTAGTGTATATATCAATGTAAATGCAACAAAATCATAGTTCATCGGAGATATCTATAAGTAACTATTTTAAATTACAGATAATCTACAGTGATCGATCGAGTGGAAACGAAATAAAAATAGAAAAATAAAACAATTAATAAACAATACGCATAATAATAATAACAATAAAAGTATAGATTTCGATTAATTCACTAACTGAAAAAAAAAATTACAAATAAAATATTCCATTACCGAATTAATTTTTTTATGTCACAAGTTGTAGAATAAAATTTACCGGAAGAGAAGGAACAGCGTCGTTTAACACGATCTTGACAGGAGTAATGTAAAGTGACGGTGATATGGGCGGACATATATCGCGGGAATATACGCAAATCTTTGGCAATATGCCAAACTCGTCTCGCGAATACTTGTTTACCGCGTGCTACGTAGTGACGTAAAACTCTATTGGGCTCGTAGTAGACCGATCCGGAACATGTGATGATCCTCCACACATATATGTAGATCTCGCTAGTGTCTAGTTTCTTTCTCGCTAGTCTTAAAATGACCGAAGTTAAGACGATCCAAATCGAGCTCAGCACAAGACACAATGATGGTATATATAGAGGGCGACAGACGATCGAAAATATTAATTTTTGTTTTTATACTTCGAGAATGCACATTTTTCTCGACTTGACCTAAATTTCATAATAATGATTCATCGGTACGTGTCGAATCAATAACGTCTTTTAATGAGCATAAAAATAATTAATCTGTTAGTTTATTTAAAATGACGACAAAAATATTTTAGATAAGTTTTTGAATCATAAAATCAAATTATGTCCAATCAAATGAGATATTCAAGGTAATCGAATTATTTTGTTTATAGGTTATAATTCGTCCTGATTCTTCGTGTCGGCCGTGTAACGTGTCCGTAATATCGTTTTTTCGAGCAAACGTTCGTGGAACGAACAGATTCGAGTATTGACGTGGGATGAGACATCGAACGAATGTACACCTTGTCGCAAATGTTTGCAATCGTATCACATATGACGAAACACTTACATGTGTGTAACATGGAAGACAAATTTGAAAAGCGACTTTCGTGCAAACGATATTGAAAATATTAAAATTTCGAAATTGTTATATTTAATGGATAAATTCATAATCAAAAATTGCAAAAATTTCTTAATGTTATATCAATTGGAAATTTTTTAAATAACTTAACAAAGAAGAAAGATTTCACAAAAATTTTATTGATAAAGTTATTTTATTCTTTTTCTTTTTTTTTTTTTATTCTGATCGTATCTATCAAAAATGCATTAAATTATTTCTTTAATTGAGAAATGACTTTAAAATATTTTTGTCAAGATTTTTGAAATGGATACGAGTTGAATACGAGTGTCATCGATGACCAATGTTTAAAGGTAAATAAAATTTCTTGATACTTAACACGTTGAAGATTTAAACGCAAGTTATGTCGATATTATCTTGTTATCGCGGAAGCTTGGCGAGGAAATATACCGATTACATATCGGCAGTGAGAGAAAAATATATAACTTTCGCAGATATGTCCATTACGTGCAAGCAAGAACAATAACAGTAATACGATGAAAACGCCAGTAACCGTGTAAACTGGAGGAACGCACGAAAGAAGTGAAAGGTTCTTATTTCTCGAAAGCGTTCAAGGAACACTACCGTTCTTTTGTAATTATCGACAGCGTACTTATGTTTTCTACTAGTTAGAGAAAAAGTAGAAAAAAAATTTTTATAATATTTTTTCCATCATTAAGATAGTTTCATTATTATTTGAAAATAAAAAAAAATTTTAACGAGTTAAAAATAATAATAGAACGCCGACACTTGAATGATTGTTGCTGTTCATAGTCAATAATTTCATCAACAATTGACAATAATTTACAAATTTCATGAATTTAAGAGAAAATCAAACTAACTTTTTTTATTTTTTTTTTAAGTAAAATTTTTAAATTTAAAAAAACAAAATTCATCAAAATTATAAATATTGCCGGCCAATTAAGTATTAATATATTGACAGCAGAATATATATAATGATTAAAACAAAATGATTATACTTTATCTTCATTTTATTTCATCTTCAATGTAATCTTGAATCGTTTATGAATTTAATAAATAAGTCTTGACTCAACTTCTTTGTATTTGTGTCACGAACAAAAATATTAATATTCCATATATAAGTGGAGATTAATAGAGATTAACTTATAATCTTTTTAAATTTTCAGCAATTCTCTTATTTCAAACTTAGATTTATAACATAAAAAATTTCGATGAATGAATTCTCCGTAATATTTTTATCATAAATATTTCATTTACTATATAACTATAAAATTTGAAAAAAAAAAACTAGAGCAACGATATATAGATAATAATAATGTGTAAGACCGAAAAGAGACCTAGGAAATATCGACGAAGTTTTCCATTCTCGTATTGTCGGTGCCATAGTTCCACAGTATCGATCATTTCAACCGCACGAGTGACGAAAAAACCTCGTGGAGAAAGAAAGTAAAAATGGAAACGATCGCAATAAACTATGAGTCAAAGTTTGCCGTGTGTTTCGTGCCCCTCTGTATTCTCCGAGAATATCCAACGAGGTGCACGCGCTTTAATCCGGCATGCGAACTCGACGTGAAAAGGCAGTTATGAAAAATACAAGAGAATATAATTCTAATAAAAGATTTACACTGGAGAGGAACGTGTCTCTCATCGAGTCGCGTACAGTCGCTCTCAAAAATATCTGATACAATTCGGAAAGACAAATCACACTTGAAATTTTACATATTTTATATTGGATTATATATATTTATATATATTATATATATTTTATATTGGATTAAAATTTATTTTTTATTATTTTTTACGATATTTTTTAAAATATTTTTTACGTTTTATGTATATTTATAAAATATAAAAAAAAAAAAACCATATTATCATATGTATGATCGTAATCGTGTGTTCGTGAATACTTTTTGTATCAATTAAATAAATAAATTAAAATATCTTCTTTTAGTAAGAAGATAATATGAATAATATAGTATAACATGATATTAATATTATAAAATTTTCTTTAAATAAATGATATTTAAGAAAAAGACAATATATAAGCAAATCATAAGATATCATTGAAGAAAAAAATTTACTCGATTTTAATCGATTTTACGATTCGATTTTAGTATCCATACCGTTTCACGTATGACGTAACCGATTTTCTTTTCCCCTCTCTTAAAACCTGTTAACGATCCAATCTCTTTCATCCGATGACGAGTGAAAACACGCGAATGTACACTCATCGACGAAAATACAATATGAACCAACAACGTCTAGATATCGTTACAGGGTGATTCACAATACATACAATTTTCTAGAATAAAAACTAGGAGAAGAAGAGTCGTCTAAACAATAGAGAATCGGTGACCCTTAACTTTCTGTTCTACCATGGTACGGAAGTATCTCTGAAACTGAAATCGATAAAGGTCAATGTACCGACCGAGTACGCAATTCGAAATAATTGGAAGATTTAATTTATTCGAAGAACAATCCAGTATCGAAAATAAGAAACAATGCTATACAGTCGTAGAGATTTACAATTATATGTTTTATGATGTTAAGAATTATCTAGTCAATTAGAAAAGATTTTCTAATATTATTTATTATAAAAACGATCTCATTAATTTTACAAGGATTCCATTTTCCAATAGACTATAAAAAAAGTAAGGTTAAGATAAAAAAAATTTCATAATTTTTTTATTCGTAATCAATATCTTTTTTTTTTTCTTTTTGAAAAAGAAACAATAGAAATTCTTTCAATTCTATTTTATACTATGTATGATAAATAAATAAATAAATAATATACAGATTATATTTGACATTTCTAGAAGGTCGATTTTAAAATTCGAAAAAAAAATTAGTATATAAAAATGACAGTTGAGGTTTATTTATTAATTTAATAACGAATTTAAGTTTGTTAAGTTAAAGGAAGTAAAAAAAAAATGAGCAAAACCGTTCTATCCTCATATATATATATATATATATATATATATAAAGTAAAGTATCATTTATTATTTGCTGTACACATCGATAGATAATAATTATAGACAACATATTTCTATGTATATCGAAAGAACGGCTCTGATAACTGAAGTACACAAGTTTTATAGAACATGCGTTGCATTAATACTGGTCAACATTGAAAGCAAACAGCTGATTCAAGGCTGACGCCCATTGACGTCGAGCGTTTCTCTAATAGTAATGTTTTAAGCCCGCATTACACCTAACCTCTGACCTACCTTAAGCAATGCGATGAGAACGACACGGGTTATTATTTCATCTTTATTAGTCTATTTTTATGCATTTTTATGCTCTCTCTCTCTCTCTCTCTCTCTCTCTCTCTCTCTCTCTCGAAGAAAGATAGTTATACACTGAATCTCTCGTTATCCTGTAATTTTCCATTAACCGAGATTTACAAACAGTTGGTTGAAATCTTGATTAATAGATCGGATCACGTCTGGCCTGTTAATAAGCGTGAATTGAATTTTTTAAGAATGAAACAAATTGAGATATGTTTGAAATAACGTGAAAACTGGCGATGGAAGTGTTTAAATGGAAATTATATTACCGCTTTAAAATGAATTTTTTCCAGGGTCGAAATCCTTTTGTAACGAATAAATGTGCTGATTTTTTTTGAAAACGCGAAAAATAAATTCTGGAAATATTTTCAAAACGAAAAAAAGTAGAGAGTTATAGAGTTTTAAATAATAGATTTTAAAATAATGAAAATAATGAAATATTTTACAATTGTATCATAATAACGTGATGATTCTTCCTACATCTTCCTACGTCGATATAAACGATTACATATCACGACTTTTTCCTTTACATAATGCCGCAAAAGAGATATTGCTCGCTTCAATTGGCAAGCAGTGTATGAATTGTAGCGGATATACCAAAAGTTATTTCTGACGGAATTTTTTGGCATGATTCAAAAGCAATTTGCCAACGATTAAAGTGTTCCATTAATAAGCCACGGGATCTTTATGTTAAGAGAACTGTATTACTGTCATCAGGTGAGTGTCTCATTAAATCTCGTTGGCAAAGTTTAAGTTGATTATCTAATATCGTTTATCGAAGGATATTATCGAATCACATTCTTTTTTCCTTCCTTTTCTTTTTTCATCTGATATCAACGATAGAAGAGATATTTGAAATGATTAAAAATGCAAAAAGTTTCACGTTCGACTTTCTTCCATTTTATGATTCAAAATTTTGAATATAAAAATTTAAAGATTTTTTTCTTATCTCTAATTTTAAGCTAACAAGATATTTCAAAATAACTTTGCAAATTTATCGAGAAAAGAAGTGAAAATATATGAAAATATATAATTGATATATTATCCACGAGAAAAAAAAAAATTTCGATTGATTTGTTAATTATTAATATTAAAAATAATCGAAGTGATCGTATTACGTGATTTGTAGAATAAATTTTTTTAAAAAATTGTTTATAAAAAATTATTTATAAAAAAATCATATTACATTAAAATTATTTATTGGCATAAAAAATATGTAATCACAATTTTTAATACGAAATTTCGTCTATGACACAATGTATGAAAACATTGTATCGATTTCAATATGTGTGCGTAGGTTCGCTCTTTCGTTCCATTGAATACTACAAGCAATAAAGGAGGAAAACTTTCCATTCTGCACCAGAGTCTGGAAAAGTACCGAATGCTTATGACGCAAATTTAACAGAGGACACAGGATGATTGCCAATATTCCATCCCATAAAGACGAAGGATAATAAGAACTTCAATTCGTAATAAATCTTATAAAAATATCAATGTCCAACAAAAAATTCATATGTATATTTATTAAAACGAGTTTGTTCGACAATTGATGACGATATATTCATGGAATTAGTAAAATTTTCATGTTTCAACTTTATAACTTTTCAAAATATTCCAAAAATTTTGATTGTTGAAAATGAAAATAATTTTCAAAGAATTTTCAAAGAATATTAAAAATATATAATAAATAATCTGAAACTGTTGTTAAGTATAA